ACCGAAATTTCAATTTTTGTCCATACCGGTCCTATATGTTCATGGGAGACTTAATACGGTGTCGGATTCGCGGAATTCACTTTCTACGCCTTCGAAAATCGCCTGCGAAGTTCCGGGAATAAAATAATATTATTTTTCCAATTTTTGCCGAAATTCCCGTTTTTGTCCAAAACCACTCTAAATGTACGTGGCCACTCCAAAATGACCTTGGCCGCGAAAAATAACCTCAAACGGCCTCCGAATCCCGCCCCGGTGCCCACGGGGGGCAAAACCGTAATTTTCCCAATTTTTGTCGAAATTCCTATTTTCAGCCGGTCTTGTCCCAAACTTACTTGGCCACTATAAAATGACGTCCGTCCTACAAAATAGTCATAATTACCCTTGAAATTTTGATATCGGAGTTCGGCTCAATATCGCGATCAAAATAGCTCGTTTTGAAATCTTAGGATCTCTCACTAACGGGTGGCCATTTAGGTGTTACGCGTATCGACCTAAGACTGTCCGAGTCTCGATAGTCTCAAATCTCGAGAGAAGGTGAGAGATTATCACTAGTACCGGGGGTCGCGATCGTTCGGATATAATTTGGGATTTGTTTGTCAGGCGTACTTTCGGTCGTGCGGAATCACCCGCGATCCAATCGTACGTTACTAACTATATCAAATCTATTATCTTCCTAAGATCGGCCCATATTGGCTCAAGATATTCCCTCGACGTTTCTCGAAATCAGTGTCCAATCGCGATCGTCTTTCTCGGTCCACGTACCTGTTCCTATTTAGCCTTTCCCATTTGGTTAGTATCCCGTGATTGATCAAGTCCGGGCGAGACTCACTAAAATCACACGAGAATTAATATACGCTTTACTGGTTCCGATAGCTGGTCAAAATTCAGGATGTTACAAACCAGCCCGTGCCCTACGGGCCCGGTTCCGGTTCCAAAAAAAAAAAAAAAAAACCTGCAGCACAGCCTGCAGGTGCAAGCCATGCTTCTGCTGCTGCGGCCTGTTGCCAAGGCAGCCCCTGGCAACGGGCAAAATTTTTTTTAAAAAAAAAAAAAAAACCCCCAGCAGCAGGGCCTGCACATCTGCAGGGCCTGCACGTCTGCAGGCCCTACTGCGGGCAGCGGGCTTGCGCCTTGCGGCCCGTTGCCAGGGCAGCCTTTAGGCTGCCCTGGCAACGGCCAAGGCCAACGCCCAAACGGGCAAAAATTTATAAAAAAAAAGAAAAGATAACCGTTGCAAAATTGCAACGGTTATCTTTTCTTTTTTTTTAATCCTAAATTTTCTTCTCATTTGTTTCTTATAAATTCTCTTAAATTCTCTCAATACTCACAATTCTCTCAAATTCTCTCAATTTATCTTCTCTCAAGTCTCAAATTTTCTCAATACTCGAAATTATCTCAAATTCTCTTAAATTCTCTCAATTTTCTCAATCCACGCAATTCTTTCTTAATTCTCCCAATTAATCCGCTCAATTCTCTCAATCCACTCAAAAAATGGCAAGTGGAAGTCGAGTGCCAACTGGCAAAGGTAAAAATATCATAACGGAATCCCATCATTCTTTTGATCCTCGTGAATATGCAGATTTTCAAGATGATGAAATCAACATTTTTCCCGACGTGGAGCGCGTCCCGATGCAAGCAAGTTTTCATCCTCCTGCCGAAATATCTACAACAAAGGAAGCGGAACGGAAATTTACATCTGACATTTGGAATCACTTCACGAAAATGGAAAGGTTTGATATTGGTAAAAAAAGGTATGATATAATTTGTAAATATTGTGGGAAAATATATAAATATACAGGTGGACAAGGATATGGAACATTTAAACGACATCTTGGGAGCAAACATCCAACCGAAACGGGAATCGATATCAGGCAATAACAAATTTCCGGGTACGTCAATCCTAACACTTCCCCTTTATTTCGTTTTAATGAAAAAACTTATAAGGAAGAATTAGGCAAATTTATTTCCGTTGAGCATTTAGCATTTAATTTTGGAGAAAGATTTGGTTTTAATGAATTTGTACAAAAAGCATATGCTCCACAAGCAAAACGTGTTCCTAGAAATTCAACTAAACGAGTAATTAAAGATTTTTACAAAAATGGAAAAAAAGATTTACAAAACTTTTTTATGCAATTTAATGGATGCGTGCATATAGGTAGTGATATTTGGAGTGATCATTGGCAAATTCATTCTTACATGGGCATAACATGTCATTGGATAGATGACGAGTGGAGTATTCAAAAAAGAGTTATTGCATTTAGAGTTTTCGATGATAAGCATATGGCAAATAATATTTATAGAATAATTATGCAAGTTTTAGAAGAATATTATTTGCTTAACAAAATTTTTTCAATTGGTTTTGATAATGCCGCAGCAAATACCGCTTCAATTTTCCGATTTAGAAAATATTTGTAAACCCGCTTTTGGCGGAAAATTTTTTCACGTTAGATGTGCTTGTGATATTTTAAATTTATGTGTACAAGATGGTTTGAAAACTCTTGATATTTTTCTTCAATCAATAAAAACGGCGATTCAATTTTTATGGAAACATCCCCAAAAAATGAAAGAATGTGATAGATTTTGTAGAGAAAATGGCAAATAGCCAAAAAGATTTTCAAGAGATGTTCCAACTCGTTGGAATTCTACTTTCCACTTGCTTAGTGAATCTTTAGCATATAAAGATTTATTATGTGCATTCATTTCTAATAATATACCTCAGATTAATTTATACCCACAAGAGTGGGATATTTGCCAAAAAATTTTAGATGTTTTAAAGGTTTTTAATGATGCAACTTATACTTTGTCCGGTGTTTATTATCCTACTACACATTTATTTTTAGTAGAGTGTACTAATATTGTCGGAATTTTTGATGAATATGAAAATGATGTTGAATTACAACATACTATAGTTGCAATGAAAATGAAGTGGCTACATTATTATAGCGAAATTCCCATTATTTATTTAGTTGCTTGTGTTTTTGATCCGCGTTGCAAATTGGATGGCTTAAATGATTTTTTGCGTACGTATTATCAATGTTTACATTATGATGCGATAAATGTTACAACCATAGTACGTGAGGTTAAAAACGTAGTAATAAAAATATATAATGAATTTTATACTAAATATAATTTAGGTGATATTGGATCTTCTCAATCTACGGAGATACAAAATGACAGTACAGGTAAAATTAGTAGAGGGTACCAACTTTTATTACATAGACAAAAAAAACAAAAGGGAGTAATAGGAAATATTTCTGAATTAGAGATTTATTTAACCATTTCATTTGAGTTTACTGAATCCGAAGGTGGTACAGATTTTTTAATTTTGGATTGGTTGAAGAGGCACGCAAGCCAATACCCAATCCTTTCTATTATTGCAAAACAGATTTTTTCAACCCCTTGTTCCACAGTTGCGGTCGAACAAGCATGCAGTGCCGGAGGTAATATTTTGGACGAACATCGTTCAAGATTAGCTCCAGAATCAGTGGAGATTCAAGCTTGTGTTGCTGATTGGACGAAGGCTCAATACTGGCAACAAGAGATAGATTGGAATAATGAATCCGAATTCTTTAACGACGGAGATACTACCGGTACCGGTACTGGAACGGGTAGTGACGATTGAGGGTAAAAGAACTATTGGAGTTGGCAAATATTTCGGGAACTCTTGTTTCTCATACCGGGTACGCCCACGTGAGATTAGGGAAACCGAAGTATAATCCGACGACATGTGACCTCTGGTCCCCTGCGCACGGAATGCTTAGGTTTTGGGATCATTTTAGGGCATATATATTGTGCTCCTTGTTTTTTATAGATCGTTGTAACGAATTGTAATGTGCTTAATGATAATTTATTAAGTTCAAGCCCTCTCTTTCTCTCTTGTCTTTTTGTCCCCAAATTTGATTACAATTTATATTGAATAATGTTCCGTCACTGGAACAGTAATTTTTTTAATTATTTTCTTTTCTGTTTTTTTTTTTTTCTTTTCCTTTTCCTTTTCTTTTTTTTTTCTTTTCTTCCTCCGCCGGCCATAGCCGGGGCCGGCGGAGGTCGCCGGCCTCAGGCGAGGCCGCCCTCGCCGGCGTCGGGCGAGGGCCGCCCTCGCCTGGGCTGGGCGAGGCCGGCTCGCCGGATCGGGCGAGGGCTCGACCTCGCCGGCACCGGCGAGGCCGGCCTCGCCGGCGCCGGCGAGGTCGAGCCTCGCCGAGATCCGGCGAGGGTTCGACCTCGCCGACCTCGTGGGAGGCCGCCTCGCCGCCGCCTGGCGAGGTCGAGCCTCACCAGATCCGGCGAGGGTTCGACCTCGCGCCTCGCGAGGTCGAGCCTCGCCGGCGTCGGCGAGGCCGGCCTTGCCGCATTGCGGCGAGGTCGGCCTCGCCCGCGCCGGCGAGGTCGAGCCCTCGCCCGATCCGGCGAGGCCGGCCTCGCCCGGCCTAGGCGAGGGCGGCCTCGCCCGACGCCGGCGAGGCGGCCTCGCTCGAGGCCGGCGACCTCCGCCGGCCCGGCTATGGTCGGCGGAGGAAGAAAAGAAAAAAAAAAAGAAAAGGAAAAGAAAAAGAAAAAAAAACAGAAAAGAAAAATTATGAACCGGCCCGTAACCGGTTCCGAACCGACCGGTTCTGAACCTGAACCGGAACCGGTTCCGAACCGACCGGTTCTGAACCTGAACCGGAACCGGAACCGGCCCGGAACCAGAACCGCCATGGGCAGTTCCGGTTCCGGTTCATACTTGGCCACGAACCGGAACCGCCGGTTCAGAACCGGAACCGGTCGGTTCTGAACCGTGGCCATGACTAGCCTTATCAGATCGTGTGTCTCGAGCGTGCTAGTTAACAACCCCCTTTCTATAAACAATCTACGAACGGGCCAGAAAAGCCCACGATGGAAATGGGCCGTAACGGAAGGGCATGTCCAGGCCCATCAAGCGATCTCGACTCTCTCACTGCACGAGCACGAATCTGATCAGAGAGTCTCTCCGAAACGCACATAAAAATCGGTTCGTCCTCCCCCCTACCAAAGGAGCAATCTCGCTCAGTTCACCGGAATTCCTCCGCGCTTCTCCCTCGATCGAATCCCATCGCGCCGACGTCGCGGGACGAGCAGGTACACACCTTCGACTCTGCTCCCCTCAGATCTTCGTCGATCCCGTCGCGCGAATTCCCGTCGCCGCCTTCGGGCCTTCGTCTCTCGCCCAGATCTCTAGGGGGGAGCGCGGGAGGGTGTTGTTCGCCGCAGGAGCAAAAGACCCGTCAGTTGGGATCGCATTGGAAGCTCTGGCGAGCGGGGGTGTTGTTCGTCGTCAGATCTGACGTTTGCTTAGCTTGCTTTGTTTTCTGGGCGATTGCATCGCATGCGGTTGATCCGGGAACGTGTTTGATCCTTCTGCGCTGGATGTTTTGGTGAGGGGTGGTTTTGGATTGGATTGGGTCGTGCGTGATCGGTTTAATCTGGGGGCGTGATACAGCATTGGGATCGAGGATCGAGTGTCCGTGGTTCTCGATTGACAGGTCTTTTTTTTTTTTTGTTCCCTTGTGTCGTGTGTAGGTACGGCCTGTTTTTAAGCTGTGTTCAGCGGCGGCAAAGTGGTTGCTTGTCGGAAGGCCAAGATGGTGAGGTTTCAGTTTCTTTTATCCTCGGCGCTTCTCGTTCCGCAATTACGTGCTTTTAGGTTCTATGGTCTTTGATCTGATCTCTTCGTTTCGCATCAGAAGTCCGCGTGCTGGTGAGATCAGGCTGATTTGCTGTTGCGTCCGAATCCACTACACTGAAAGCAATTTTGAATAACTCGCGTGCACTTGTTTCAATGGAACTGTGATGAACGAAACATTGATCATGTTGGAGTTGAATCGATTATCGGCTGTTTAATGATGCCCTGGTACATGTCCGTGTTAAAAGAACACGCGGGGTAGCATTTTTGCATTTCAGATTAATCACAAAGAGATTCCTCACTGTTGAAGTCATATGTTTGATGACTTAAATGTTAGATCTGTGTTTGAGGTTTTAGCAATTGGAATTTTCATAACCTACTAATGATTTATCGGACTAGGACTAGGACTAGGCTATGGCGTGAGGTTTAATGCCTACATTTAGGAATATGCGGCTTGAGGCGTAAGAGAACTTGCGTCCTGTTTCTTTCTATTTTATACAGTCTAAAACTTACTATTGCTTGTTATTAGGGAAGTGTACTCTCTATAGGCATGTGCAGAGTTGATTACAACGTTTGCTTAGATACTGTTTTTGAGTGTACTTACTATTGCTTTTTATTAGGGAAGTGTACACTCTATAGTCATGTGCAGAGTTGATTACAATGTTTGCTTAGATACTGTTTTTGAGTGTTTTCGTGTACTGTGTTTGTGTCTGTACAGGTGGTTCTTGCAGCTTCTATAGTGAGCAAGTCTGGGAAAGGTGAGTCATTCGGTTTCGATATTATTATCTTTGAAGAAAATGATTGACAGGATTATTTCTTTGATTATTTTTATCTCATCCTTTATATAGTTATATAGAAGAGGAAAGCAATAAATCCATTTTGCTCGGCCCCTCGGAGCAATTTCATTTTCTTCATGTTTTGATGTCCTCATTCTCCTGAGATAATCATTTGATGTTTCTAAATTCTTTTGCAGTGCTTGTTTCCCGGCAGTTTGTTGACATGTCTCGAATTAGAATCGAGGGTCTTCTTGCTGCTTTCCCGAAATTAGTTGGTACTGGAAAGCAGCACACATATGTCGAAACCGAGAATGTTCGCTATGTTTACCAGCCAATAGAAGCTCTGTACTTGCTTCTCGTAACCAACAAGCAAAGCAACATTCTTGAAGATCTGGAAACCCTTAGGCTTCTCTCCAAGCTTGTATCCTTCTTGGTGGATTGTCTAAGATTATCTTTATCGTCTTTTTTTTTTTTTCCCTTTCCTCTCTTGACTTTTCTCGATCTGTGGTTCCTGAATGCCGAAAATCGAGTTAATTGTTTTCAAAACTTTATTATTTGAGCTTGTCATGATGACAAGGAATATTGTAACTCTTTTTTTGAGACTGTCGACCTAATATATGAGTATTCAATCTGGTTAATTCCTTAAAAATTCTTAGGTACCTGAGTATTCTTTATCTCTTGATGAAGAGGGGATAGGCAAAACAGCCTTCGAGCTGATTTTTGCCTTTGATGAAGTTATATCTCTCGGGCACAAGGAAAATGTCACCGTTGCGCAAGTCAAGCAATACTGTGAGATGGAGAGTCACGAAGAAAAGTTGCACAAGCTAGTTAGGCAAAGTAAGATTAATGAAACCAAGGATGTTATGAAGCGTAAAGCTAGTGAGATTGACAAAAGCAAGGTACGTTTTTGGGACCGTAGAAGACTCATGCTTTTTCCTTCCATGGCTGTCCCGTGTTATGAACCGCCGTCAAGACAAATGTTTCCATTTTTTGCAGATCGAGAAGTCTAGAGGTGACAAAGGAGGGTTTAAGGGTCTACAAGGAATGGGGTCTGGAAGACTTGAGAGTGGCTTTAGTGAGATGAGCATTTCTAGCAGTGGAAGTGGCTTTGGAAGTGGGTCTGGATTTGGATTGAGCACTGATGTTGATTCCTTTTCTACTAAGCCTAAAGGTTAGTGGCTCCTCACATTCGCTTAGGCAGTAATCATCATTTGGTTATGTCTCATGGGTTGCTACTCCTTTGAATCAATGTTAGCTTCTCTTAAGCTTTCAAGTGGAAAGTGTATCTGTTGGTAACTTTGATTATGACTTGGGGCAGTCAAATTTCAGTTGCTCCAAAAAGTTATCCACTTTATTTAGTGTTTTCCGGCTCTTTCTCAAAATGTTCAGAGATTTCTAGCCTAAAGATGTTTATAAATCTAGAGAGTGTTAATTATGAGAAGAAGAAACCGTTTTTGAATGTTTTATGGTCTGATTGCCATGCAATCTGTAGTCTGATTTATGTGTTTGATCGAATCCTGGTCGGAAATATTTCCGGACAATAATGTCAATCATAGCTCACTCGGAAGTCTTAACCATCTGGAAGTGTCATTATTCAAGCAAAATATATTGGATTGCATGGTTCTTTAACCTTTTACAATTATGGAAAGTTTGAAAAGATATAATAGAAGTACATGGTATATGGGGCCAAAGCAGTTTGAAAATCAATCAACCTTTAGTTCATAGAGGGAAAAATTGTTGTTGATGCGATTTCATTTCGCAGAAGGAGCCAGCAAGTCTAATTGTCATTCTCTAGACTCAATTTTCTAAATGTACATCCATCCAATACGTTTTTCATTGAATTTCCCTCAATTAGAAATTTGTCATGTTCACATCGATGCTTGGATTAATTCCAATATTTCTGGCTATGATAAGATGAAGGTAGTATCCTACACGACCCTAACTTTGTTCTGACTATTGTTTTACAGGTCGTCCACCTTCATCTGCCACTGCTCCTCCCAAAGGTCTGGGTATGCAGCTTGGTAAGAGCCAACGGACAAATCAGTTCTTAGAAAGCTTGAAGGCAGAAGGTGAAGTAATTCTGGAAGATGTCCAGCCAAAAGCTGCTGCATCTAAATTGGCTGCTGCTCCGCTAACTGATCCCATCACTTTGACTGTTGAGGAGAAAATCAACGTGACACTCAAACGTGATGGTGGAATGAGCAGTTTTGATGTCCAGGGAACATTGTCACTTCAAATTCTAAACCAAGAGGATGGGCTTATCCAGGTTCAGGTACTCTCCCCTTCCCTTGTCTTTTCCATGCCTGTATAAGCAGAAGCTGATATTCCTTGAGAAGCAATTTCCAAGAACAGCTAGGTCATTCATTTAAAATGACGCTGCCAAATTTGGTAAAGTCACCAGTCATTCATTTTCTGGATTGAGTGGAAGCATTTCACTGCGGGAGTTTTGTCTTAGAATGTACCCCTATGTATGTCACAAGTCAGGTGACTTGACCAATCTACTTATAATTGCACATAATTAAAGGTGGCATTCACTTTATAGTTATCTCGCAACATTTTGTTGCACTTAAACTGGTATCTTTGACGAGTCCCAACTCATGGTGAACTGGCTAAAGAATAGGTTTCTTTTGATTTTCGTCATCATTGATGAATAGCAGCCTGCATCTTTTAGGTTGAACTGACTCTAGAAACACAGTCTTGTTCAGAAAGAAGGAAAATAAAGTTTCATCACTCAAGCTGCGTGTAATGGCTCTGTTTAATACAAATAAACCCAAGTGTGCACGACCGGTGGCTTTCTATTCATAGAGTGCATTGGGGATTTAAGCTCTGATGTTCATATGTGTGAAAGTTTCGCAAAATGCTATTTAACATGTGATGTACACTGTTCCAGGTGTTTTATGGCCTCTTTTCCATATTCTGAGTTTTTCATCCTTTTCAGATTGAAACCAGGGGTAATCCAAACATCTTTTTCAAGACACATCCTAACATCAACAAAGAGTTATTCAACAGTGAGAGTATTCTAAGCCTAAAAGATCCAAACCGGCCTTTTCCAACTGGTCAAGCTGGTGATGCCGCAGGTGTAGGTCTTCTGAAGTGGAGAATGCAAACTACTGATGAGTCTATGGTGCCTCTGTCAAGTAGGTTTATATCCCTGGTGTTTATAAATATCAAATCTGTGGTTCTGTTACTAACATGCAATTATCGTTGCAGTAAATTGCTGGCCTTCTGTTTCTGGAAATGAAACTTATGTAAGCATTGAATATGAGGCTTCGTCAATGTTTGATCTGAGAAATGTTGCGATTTCCGTACCACTTCCAGCTCTTAGAGAAGCCCCGAATGTGAGGCAGATTGATGGCGAGTGGAGGTGATTTTCTGAACTATTTACGTTCTTTTTTAATATCCTCGCATAGCATAGATAATAGTTCAGAAGAAAGAACAAGAATTTTGGGGGAACCCTTACTTATTTTAGTCTGTGATCTTTTAAAAAATGAAGTGTCACTCCCTTCATTTTGTACTATATTCATACTTGACCTTTGTTATGTTCTTTTAGTAGTTACAGAGGCGTTTTTAATATCTTGCAGATATGACTCTAGAAATTCCATCTTGGAGTGGTCCATCGTTCTTATTGACAATTCAAACCGCAGGTCCGGCCTAATTTTCTGCTCTATAGCTTTCTTCTATTTCTGTGCTCAAGCATTGCCATTCTCGTCAGTCGTTTGACCTTTCACTAAACACTCTTGGACTGTCTGCAGTGGCTCAATGGAGTTTGTTGTTCCCCCGGTAGATTCTTCTGTATTTTTCCCCATATCTGTGCAGTTCTCAGCTACTAGCACATTCAGTGACTTAAAGGTTTGTTGTAATAGTTCTGTTTCTTCTGAAAATATTCTTCAGTTTGTTCCTTTTTGTCTCTTGCTTTTAGTTCATTTACTTCTCATGAACTGATTTGACCGTAATATATTCTTATCTCCTCAGGTCGTGAATATCTTGCCTCTGCGAGGTGGATCGCCTCCGAAGTTTTCTCAGAGAACGCAATTGATCACCGAGAACTATCAAGTTGTCTGAATGAAAGATAATTCGTTCACCTGAACGTCTGCTTCTGCACACTTTTTGGTTTTGTGAATTCCTGTGCTGCGTACATTTATCTGTATTCGAGTTTTGTTAAGATCTTTGATTGATAGTTTAATGCTGCCTCTGACCTGTGGCGGAACCTTGAATTCTTTCATGAGAATTTATCGACTCTCGAGTTTAGATGTCATAGAAATATCCTTTTACGTCTGTCTTGAGCATTTCTGGGACATATAAATGAATGATATACACGGTAGTTTGTGTTGTTGCATGGAATAATGCGTAGATCAATGTCTTGTTTTCCACCTAGACTTGTCCTCTGTGTCTATGGTATCTGATTTTTATTAAAAGCTGCTTAGAATTAGTTTGGGACCATTGCAACCAAGTTATTCCTCAGGGTCCGATGTGCATTTTGTAGGTAGATATGGCACTTGTCATCTCGAAATGGTATCGAAGTTCTTGACTCTAACGTTTAGCCGGTTAAAAATTTTCCACATACAAGAGATGTCTTACTTCAATTCAACGAGCAGGAACTTAATTAGCTGCCTCCACATACAAGATATGTCTTATTTCAATTCAACGAGCAGGAACATAATTAGCTGCCTATAGAGCAGATGAATCTAAGGCGATTCTGGTGATTTTCCATATCTTTTACAAGCGATCGTGCAACGCATTAGAATTCTAAAGAAACATCAATGGTAACTCATCATGTAACGAAGGAATAAGACTTATGAAATGGGGGATTACAGCTCACGATACATCCAGAAGAGCCTGCAAAGTTGTACTCGAGAACTAATAGTATATCCTCAAACTTCATTCCTGGTTCGAAACCTTTGAATCTTGTAGAGGGGTTGAGGGACGAGAGAAGAGCAGAGAAAAGGAATCACTTAGGTACCACCAGAAGCTATGCTCCTTCAGAGGCATCAGTGTGCCAGCGACTCCACAACCCGTTTGGATTAATGTCAGATAAAGCGCGAACAATCCGGCCACCGTCGAAATCCCAACCACCCAGTTGCTGAAGTAGTAATGAACAAGGCGAGCTCTGAGCTTTGCGCGCGTGCTCTTGAAGTAGACGTCAATGTCATCGCACACCACTTTGTGCAGATATGACTCTTCTCCATCCCAGTCCACTTCTTTACACAGCTTGTTCACCAACTTCGCTGCCTCCTTGTTACTTCCAAGGGAGTGGTGGACTATGCCCTTGTAATGGAGAATCTCCACATCATTGGCCGAGTTCACGAGCCCATTGAAGAAGAACAGATATGCTGTTGCATCGGGTTTGCAATTCTTGTGGCATTGCTCGAAGGCCACCATGTTGCGGAACAACGTGCCTCTGTGATCGTCTATGTGGAGTGGTGGGATCGTCAGGACCTTCCCCTTGGATCGTACATCTAATGCCCTGTCAGACTCTGATTTCTTGAGCATCACACCGGCTTCTTTCAACTCAGTTATAGATTGGATCATGTGCGCTTGCCTTTTCCGGTCCTGATCCTGTATCTCCGGGAGAATACTGGATCGGAAAAGATCAAGAAAGTGACAGGTCCTTATTTCTTCCTTCAGAGTATTCATCTTAGTGGTGGCACCGGCAGCATTCATGTTTGAGTCCCTCTGCAATAATGGCTTGAAGAACTTTAAAGCGAGGTCCTGTAGGGAAAGAGTCGAATACTCACATTGAGAACCGTCATCGATCAAATCGAACAATTTGTGTAGAACTAACATCGGGAGCTGGTTTTCGAGCTTGATCAAATCACGGCGAAGGGTTGGCAACATCCACCTTTGAACGAGGGATGAAGAAGAACAACAGCCGCTGACCTCCCTCATGAGCTGCAGGACAAAGCAGCCATCGATGATCATCATCTCAACAAACTCGTCTCTGCTCAGCTTAACATCGTCTGCATAACAACTCCTAGCCTTTGGTTCTAGTTCCTCCATTGCCGAAATCACTCTCTCTACTTCAACTTCATGTTTTTGTTTTGACTTGAAAACTCTGTGGAAGAATTTTAGCTTTAGCTCCTCCATTTCTTTCAAGTGCTGATCTCCGCGATGATAAGGGCCGATCGATACAATGCTCGGATCATACGCCTTTGCCTCTACTTGACGCAATTTCGCAGGGACTCGGTAGATGCAGACATTGTCACTCTCTTCAGGAATCTTGGCATTCAATTTCTTCAGCAGGGACACCTTGCAATTCTCATGCACTTGTGATGAGGTTGAGGCACATCTCCTGAAAATAGCTTCAAAGTTTCTTCTTTTGCATGGCAGATGCCGATAAAGCTGCTTCAACCCCCAAATGTTTCTACCTGCCATCTGCAAAATTTGAGTTCTTGGGTTTGAAGGGAGGTGGGAAGGACTCTTAAGCACTGGGAAGTCAACAGGTCAATTCATTTTTCCTAGGAGAGGAATTGTTTGTTACTTCCTGCGGTTGACTTCTCGAGTCAATGAGAGCATGTTTTTTAAACAAGAAAGATCCCATTAATCCCACACCTAACTCACTTTTGGCTTGTACCAAGAAGTTTCTTTATCGTTCGCTGCTGTCTCTTTTCTTTATAGTTCTTGCTTCGGTCCTAGTTTAATTCAATTAATACGATACCCGAATTTCATCGTGTGCTTCGCGTGTGGGCTGAATCCTATTGCTAGAACCATTCGGGAGTGTCATGTCAAGGTTGACCAGCAAAAGGCAACAAAAATGGAATGGTTGGTGGGATTTTCGGTACTTTGAAAGTTCTTTTGCTGGGAAAAGGGCTAAAGAGACTAACATTGGCAAGGCCTGTACTAGTCTCGGATTTCCAGGAGTTGAATTTGTTGTATGGCAATCATAAAAAAACACTCTTTCTAGAAAAGGAAAAACTATAGTTGGTAAATTGCCTGTGAAATTTCCCCCAGTTTTTGCCCAATTGTGGGGAGCTTTCTTGAACTTTTGATGTTGAAATCTAGCCTTTGTCCATAAGTATGGCATAACGAAATTGAAATGTGTCAGATCAGGAGACAAGAAATCGCAGCATACAATAGCGCGGAAAGAGCTCTACGTTGATTTTGGGCCAGAATTGAGATCCGGGCTAAAGTTTGTGCTTTTTAACGGAATTAAGCGGATCTGAAAAATAAATATCACATTACAATTTTTGGCAAATTGCCAAAGTGGGGCTAAGAACTTTATGCAATTTTTGGCGCATCACATCATACCGTAGTGTGAGTCTAAGAACTATATACAATTTTTGGCATGTCTGTTTGCTCAAGTGGGGTAACCGCGCCTTCGGAAGCTTCCTAGTCGCCTGGCAAATAGCCACCATCCCATTGACCTTGTTTCAGCGACCATACAAGTCTTCTTGGGTCCATCTCATTTATACTCTTTCTCTTGTCTCTCTCCGCCAAAAGCATTATACAAGCAACTTTATGATCTTCATCTTCTTTCTTGATGAAGATACCAGTTAGCAGAAAAAAGAAGAGACGATAATTTGTGACTTCACCGAGCAATGGATCAGCAAAACAAGGTGATGCAGAGAGCTCCTTCCATTTCATCCTGCTTCCCAGAGAGATTTTCCAGTGTTTCACCAAGATATGAGCATGAGCACGACCATGACAATGAGCCTGAGAAGCAACAACACCATCACCAGTGGCCCATGAAAAGAACTGCTCTTCATGCCCTTCCTCAGCCCCCAGTACCATTCAAAGCTCCAGTTGATAAGCATCTCATCGTGGATGAGAAACTTCAACCCCACCATGCACAACCCTCATCATCTTCTGCTTCTCCTCCTCATCACAATGTGCCGCCGTCTAGCAGCGGGTCGAATGGAGCAGCTGTGCCCGACAAACCTGATCATCAACCTGTTTCGATTCCTCTTCCGCCAATTCCTTCGATTCCCCGCTTTGGTAACAAAGGTTAGTCATAATTTCTCTGATACTCACGTGTTTGAATTGATGAAAAAGGAGGGAGAGGACAGGATATAAGATTGCAAAAATCTCTCTTACTTAGACCATCGCTAACCAATCCTAGTAGAAGTTCAAATTATTAGACTCAGGGCATGATTCGATATTTCTGTACTTTCGGCTATTTAGGAAGTGCGCTAACTTTGTTAACATGATGTCTCAAATGTTAAAGTCTGTCCCTTTTTCTTTCTAGCACTAGATTAATGTTGCAATTGAATGAGAGGGTTCGAGCATTTTTGAGTCTTGTCCATCCTGGCCTTACTCTGCTCTTAGTCCTCCTACCTGAGTTAGCTGTTTTTGACACTTTTTAAGTGGTCTAGTTGTTTTATAGAGCTATGCCGCTGATTATCCGATGTTGTTATGCCTTCTGTTATTAATTGGAAGACTGATGTGAGACTAGTGTGAATGGTGTCTCGAAGCGTGGAATACTTCAGGAATCAGAGAACCCCACTCAAACCTTGTTTGGATTGATGGTAGCATCATTTGACACATTCATTTCAGTCTCGGGAAAATTTCTGTCTCTCTGCTCTTTAGAGCTTGCAGAAATCATCTCTTAACATCTGAAGTGCTTAATGACAGGGAAAAATATCGCAATGAGAACGAGTTTATACACGCCGTTGTATAATGCTGCGATGAAAGGCCATTGGGAAAGTGCAGAGAAGTTCTTAAGATCACATCCAGGCGCTATAAATGTCAGGATCAGAAAGGAAATGGACACGGTTCTCCACATTGCTGCCGGGGCCAAACACACCAAGTTCGTGGAGGAAGTGGTCAAGATGATGAGTCCTGCAGATTTAGCATTGCGGAACAAGAGCAATAATACGGCTCTTTGTTATGCTGCCGCATCTGGTGTTGTCAAAATTGCAGAGTCAATGGTGAATAAGAATAGGGACTTACCGGGAATGAGGGGCAATAAGGGTATGACACCTCTTTATATTGCTGCATTGTTTGGACACAGGAACATGGTTTCCTATCTGTTCAGAGTGACAGATGATGAGCATCTAACTGAAGAGGACCACGTCAATCTACTCCATGCCACAATCAATATGGATTTGTTCGGTGAGAAACATTCAATTTAATTCACGCTCGAGAATTGCTTGGATATCACTTTTTTGAATAACATCTGTCCTATTAATACTCACAGACCTAGCCCTTACCATACTCCGGAGAAAACCAGAGTTAGCTACGCTTCGAGATCATGATGGAAGGACCGCACTGCATATTTTAGCTCAGAAGCCTTTGGCATTTGCCAGCACAAGTTCATTAGAATCCTGGCAGAGGATACTTTATGCATGTAGGCAAATCTCATTACGTTGAAATATTCATATATAATATTCTCCTACCTATACATACAAATTTTATGTGTGTATGTCCGATATTTGCATTTTTGTTTAGGAGATGGCCGTACTTTTATGAACTTCGCTTTTTTCACCTCCCTCAAATGATCTTGCTCGAATATCCTTTCAGTGATTTGCGTAAAAGAAGAATATAAGGTGGGATTCCCTTCGGGACTCGTCATGAGTGACATTAGCCAAACAAAAAAAGGTTTTTTCTCCACCTTCACTTTTAGACATGCTAATTCGCATGAGAAACTTATGATGCCTAGCCAAATATCTACTGAGAGGCAGTCGGTTCAGGCGAGGTCATGACAAGTCTATTTCTTTGTGAAACTTGTGCAGTGTCCCTCTACTTACTCGAGAAGCTTTGGTGTGCAGTAGAGTTAATAGGTAGGTGGCACAAAAAAATGTTTGTGTCTTTCCTGGAATACCGCACTTCTTTTATTGAATTTGATCTATAGTGCCAGGAATCAAGGCAGTTCATGAGAAAAAGACAATGCAGTTGCAAGTGCTGCAATTGGTGAAACTGTTGTGCGAGCAGGTTTCATCACTGGAGGACTCCAATATTGAGGATCTTTTAATGCATCCCTCACAGCCATTGCTCATTGCAGCAGGGTTCGGCATAGTTGAGCTTGTGACTGAGCTTGTTCGGTCTCATCCTGATTTGATATGGAAAGTTGATGAGCAAAGCCGTAACATTTTTCACGTTGCAGTTATGTACCGCCGAGAAAAGATATTTGGCCTCATTCATGATCTTGGGGCGCATAAAGATATGATCACTACTTACAAAGACCCCGACAACAATCACAACTTGTTGCATTTGGCAGGAAAGCTGGCACCTCTGGACCAACTTAACAGAGTGTCTGGGGCAGCTCTTCAGATGCAGCGAGAACTTCTATGGTTCAAGGTATCTTCACACTCTTTATCTCAGTTCTTAGCTATTTTCTTGAGAGATTGTCATCTCCAGGATTCAGATTGTTTCATGACGTCTTGTTGCAGCCATGCTGTCCTGTTCTAAACCTGTCTGGTATTTGTTTCTATTAGATCTTTGTCGTGATTGCTCCAACATTTCCTTTTACATTAGTATTGGTTGGTTTCATATTATAATATTGAAAAAGGAGCCATCCAATCTAATCTACGAACAGGAACATAACATGGGAGCAATTCTTAACTGGGTATGTGATGGTTTTTTCTTCTGTGCCTCCATTCTAGGAAGTGGAGAAAACTGTACACCCTTTATCAAAGCAGATGAGGGACAAAAATGGCCGGACACCGAGGATGTTATTCACGGAAGAGCATAGGGCTCTGGTCAAAGAAGGAGAGGACTGGATGAAAAGCACCGCTTCATCCTGCATGCTTGTTGCCACGCTAATCACCACTGTGATGTTCGCAGCGATCTTCACAGTTCCGGGAGGAACAGACAATAATACGGGTGTTCCTATTTTATTGAAATCAAATGCCTTCGTAACCTTCGCCATATCAGATGCATTTGCGCTGTTCTCTTCGGTCACATCCATACTCATGTTCTTGTCCATCCTCACCTCGCGCTATGCCGAGGAAGATTTTCTCGAATCCTTACCAAAAAGACTAATCATCGGCCTTACGACTCTGTTTCTTTCTATAGCCTCCATGCTTATTGCATTTAGTGCGACCCTTTTCATAGTACTTGGATGCCGATTGGCTTGGATTCTTGTACCGATTGCCTTAGCTTCGTGCATACCGATCACCTTATTTGCCTTTCTTCATTTTCCCCTTCTGACCGATATGCTTAGTTCGCCTTATGGAACTGGCATTTTCGCAAGAGAATCCACAATCACCCTTTGTTCATAAAGCTTGCATTGAACTGCAAATAGCTGTATCAAATGGAAGCATGAACGATCCGTCTAGAGATCAAGTTGATTCAAGCCTTTATTGATGAAAGGTCAGTCATGGGTTTTGCTGCCCCCATCTCTCTGAACTCTCCACCTTCAACTTCAACCACCACATGGCCAAGAAAAAACTACAACCTCCCCACTGCCACCTCTAATCACTGTGACAACCACTGGCCCTGGAACCACGTCTCTCGTCAGGGTCCAGCACGTTTGGTCACACAACCCAGGTGAGATCCAGCCTCACCTGGTGGGGAGGGTGGGGGGGATGGGTGAATCTATGGTCAACAGTGCCATATACTGACAGTTCCTTCAGTGGAATGCGCTGTTCCTATTGTAAAATAACTTGCTGAACACACTCTTTTACCGGTTACCAAGTTCATTACATTTGCTTTGATCAGTAAACCAATGCTATTTTCCTGTTGAATCTGTCAGAAAGTGATAGCAGCAGGAGTTGTAGAATAGACAGAATGCTGCTTTTCTAATTTTTTGGTCCAATGCTGTTGAGGGTCAAGATTGTAGAGTAAAGATGCTAGCTGATTGTATTTCTTTTTCGTTCCTATGGCCGTTGTCTGAACTTGTTAAATCTAGGCTGGCCATCCACATCATCTTATGTGGGGTGTCCTATAAATTGCTTGAATCATCTTTGGTCTGGTAGAATTCTTTGTTCAGGATTCTTGCCACTGCTTGGATGCAACCTTCCAGTGTAAGTGCTCTAGACAGGTACCCTGAAAAAGGTACATTACCTTGATCGGATTGCATATCTTACGTTGGGTAGCTATTACTGGTTTCGTGTAAAAAGACCTGCAGGCTGAAGGATCGGCCAAAGGACTGTCTGATGGATCACCCTTGAAAGGCTCATAGATCTAAAGGCAAATGGATTGGCCGAAGGACTGCTTACTCTTCCTATGGATACTAGTTACACCGGTTGAATTACATAAATTTTTTGGTGTACTTTCTATTTCAAATGTGAAAAAGGACACTACAAGTTGCATAACTTTCATATGACTTCGTGCCAAATTTTTTTTGATCATTTGAGTGCCACTTTTGTTGAAAATCGATCACTTCAGTGCGACAATTTGCATGGCTAGCAAAGATGTCATTTAGAATTATTTGCAATTCCTGAACCTTACTCATGACAAATTTAGTATTCACCATCTTGAAGTCCCAAAATTTGGCAACCGCCAAGCGTCCTATGTCTTGTAATTCTTTTCTAAAGACTTCCATATTGGTAGTTCCAATGTTACAATAAATATTATATGTGGAATTTACTAAATAGTTAAGGACATAATTTAAGCATAAGAAGTCCCTGTGCTTTCAAGCCTCCAATGCCTCAAGCGTCGTGACATCTTGCTTATATGGACTAATTACCGGGCACGTCTCTAATAAGTACCTGACCAGATTAAGCGTGGTCAGATAGAAGAAAATCTTTTGATTCACTGCTTAAAGCCCACATTGGTGAATTTCTCCGGTTTCTCATTTGGTGTAACTAGAGGTGGTACCATCAAAGTAGGAAAAGTCTTTCGGACCATCTCTTCATAAACGGAATCATATGCCATTTGGCCTGCATTGTTCTGAAAACCAGTCTTTGGTATATTAGCCACGTGACTTATACCTGTACCACCGTAGATGGTCTCGGCCCGCCACAAAACCAGGCTCGAAGGTTTGAACCTCTCCAACAGCAGTGATCGAATCGACCATAGGAACTTCTCTAGAAATGTCCTAGACATTATTGGGTACTTATCAACCATCTCGATTTTCTGATGAACCCAACAAACAGTAAGAAAATAATTACATTAAGATTATTGTCTCTATAATACAATATTGTTTGTAGTATAGTAAAATTAAACTGAAATAATAACTTTGAGAAAGCAATAACAAATTTAATAATGACCAAGTCAATGAATAAATATAATAAGTAAAGAGGACAAAATTATAAACCAAAAAAGTACTTGCGCAATTGCTATAAATTTGTAACAGAATTAAATAGGAGGTAAGGTACGGATTAGCGAATCTCCTTAAGACTGTTACTTTCTGCCATTGGTGCTTCGTAGATTTACAAACTATGCCTTTCAAAATATAACACCTTAATCGAACTAATTACAGAAAAATTGAAGTGAAGAGACACATTGATTTTTTTCCTTCTTCTTCTTAATGAAGAATAGTTCAATTCAATTTATAGAGTTTGAAAGTTCATGTACTGAAGAGATGCATTAACTAAAGTTGATACATGAACGCAAGAGACATGTGAACTGAAAAGACATGCGAACTGAAGTGACATGTGCCAGTTTTGCTCACTTTTGTTGATCTATTAACCCATAATTACAACATAGAGTAGATGAAATTGAGGCGTTTCGGGTGATTTTCCAAATCTTGTACAAGCGATCCTCTAATGCATTAGAATTCTAAAGAAAGATCATTGGTAACTCATCATGAAACAAAGGAATAAGACTTAAAGAAATGTGGGATCACCGCCCACGGTACATCCAGAAAAGGCTGCAAATTTGTTCTTAATAACTAACTGCATATCCTCAAACTTCATCCTTGTTCGGATCCTTTTGATCGAGTGGCGTGGAGGGGGTGACAGTAGAGCAGAGAAAAGGATACGCTTAGGCATGACCAGAAGCTTTTCTCCTGCAGAGCTTTTAGTGTATCGGCGACGCTACAGCCTGTTTGGATTAGCGACAGATAAAGCACGAACAATCCTGCAACGGTCGAAATCCCGACCGCCCAGTTGCTGAAATAGTAATGAACAAGGCGCGCTCTGAGCTTCGCGCACGAGCTCATGAAGTAGACACCAATGTCTTCACACACCACTTTGTGCAGATATGACTCTTCTCCGTCTCAGTCCACTTCTTTACACAGCCTGTTCACCAAATTCGTCGCCTCCTTTTAACTTCCGAGGGAGTGGTGGACTATGCCTTTGTAATGGAGAATCTCCACATCGTCGGCCGAGTTCACGAGCCTGTTGAAGAAGAACAGATATGCTGTTGCATCGGGTTTGCATTTCTTGTGGCATTGCTCGAAGGCCATCATGTTGCGGAACAACGTGCCTCTGTGATCGTCTATGTGGAGTGGTGGGATCTTCAGGACCCTCCCCTTCGATCTTATGTCTAATGCCTTGTCAGACTCGTGATTTTTGAGGATCACTCCGGCTTCTTTCAACTCGGTTGTATATTGGATCATGAACGCTTGCCTTTTCCGGTCCTGATCCTGTATCTCCGGGAGAATGCTGGATCGAAAAAGATCATGAAAGTGACAGGTCCTAATTTCTTCCTTCAGAGTATTCATCATAGTGGTGGCACCGGCAGCATTCATATTTAAATCCCTCTTCAATAATGGCTTAACGAACTTTAAAGCGAGGTCCTGGAGGGAAAGAGGCGCATATTCACATTGAGAACTGTCATTGCTCAAATCGAACAATTTGTGTACAACTGACATCGGGAGCCGGTTTTCGAGCTTGATTGAATCATGGCGCAGCGTCGGCAACATCCACCTTTGAATGAGGGATGAAGAAGAACGATGGCCGCCGACCTCCGTCAGGAGCTGCAGGATGAAGCAGCCATCCATGGTCATCATCTCAATGAACTCGTCTCTGCCCAGCTTAACATCGTCTGCATAACAACTCCTAGCCTTCGGTTCTAGTTCCTCCATCGTCGAAATCACTCTCTCGAGTTCAACTTCACGTTCTTGTTTTGACCTGAAAACCCTGTGGAAGAATTTTAGCTTTAGCTCCTCCATTTTTTTCAAATGTCGATCTCCGCAATGATATGGGCCGATCGATACAATGCTCGGATCATACGCCTTTTCCTCTACTTGACACAGTTTCGCGGGGACTCGGTAGATGCAGACGTTGTCACTCTCTTCAGGAATCTCGGCATTCAATTTGTCTAGCAGGGACGTTTTGCAATTCTCATGCGCTTGTGATGAGGTTAAGGCAAATCTCCTGAAGATAGCCTCAAAGTTTCTTCCTTTGCATGGCATCTGCAGATACAACTGCTTCAACCTCCAACTGTTTCTACTTGCCATCTGCAACAATGGGTGCTTGGGTTTGGAGGGAGGTGGGAAGGACTCCTAAGCAACAGGTCAATTCTTTCTCTTCTTTTTATTTCTGGTAACCGAGAGAAATGCAGGATATCAATTGTTCGTTACTTCCTGCACTAGACTTCCCAAAGTCAATGAGAGCATGATTTTAAACAAGAAGCCCAGAATCTAGATCCGGGATTCACAAATTACTAAATTAATCCCATACCTAACTCATTTTTGGCTCGACTCTTTTCTAGTTCTTGCTTCAGTCCCATTTTAATTCAATGAACGTGACACCCCTAGATTTAACTCACTCGAAATATTGTCCACTTTGGCCCGTTTTATATAGATATTTAAGGTTTTGTCTTTTGGCATACAGATAGGCACTTTTCCGAAAAGTTACCCATGTTGTCATGTCAAAGGATGTCTCTTGTGAGTTAAATTCCTGTTCCAAGTATATAATCGATTAATGCTGTCTCCTTGTTCGGTGTGCATTTCGATTTTCTTACCCCCTTTGCCATTCCAGAAATTTGTTTGGAGGCACTCCTTGTTTGGGCCCCGTTGCCTAGACGATTGATTGTGTCATTTATCCTTTGGTGTACAGGTAAGCAGTTTTCTCTGAAGTCATCTATTTAAGTACGCTTAACATTGTAGTTCCAATGCTAAACATTGACATTACGTTAAAAGATAACTCTTTGCGAATTAATTCTAGTTTTATATATAATCCATGAATCGTTCTATAATTTAGTTTATTCCTATTTCCTTCGTCTATTTAAAAGCTTACCTTGAGTCGCTTTTTATCTGGACCCTCTTGCACGGCAATCACTTTCCACCCTCCTTCGACTTTGTGGTTACGATCAATAAGATACCCGAACTTCACTGTGTGCTTCGCGTATAAGCCAAATCCCATTGCTAGGACCGCTCGGGAGTGTCATGTTAAGGTTGACCAACAAAAGGTAACAAAACTGAAATGATTGCAGGGATTTTCAGTACTTTCGAAAGGTCCTCTTTTGTTGGTAAAAGGGCTAAGAAACTAACATTGACAAGGGCCTAATTCCAAAAAAAACCCCAAACTTTACGTTTTGTCCCAATTATATCCTGAACTTTTTTTTGTCTCAAGAAAAACCTAAAACTTTTTTGCGAGTCCCAAATCTACCCTACCGTTATAACTCCGTCCAATTAACGTCAGAAAAAAAAAAAAAAAAAAACAGAACCAGCAGCTGCGGCGTGGCCAAGCCTTCGCCGGTGGCCGCCGCCGCCATAGCCACCGGGAAGGAGCGGCAGCCCTCGCCTGGGCCTTCCCGAAGGCCGGCGACCCTCGCCGGCCCCGGGCGAGTCGCCGGCGAGGGCCTCGCAACCCCGATCCGGGGGCAAGGGTCGCGCCTCCCCTAGATCGGGGCTGCAGGCCCTCGCCCGGCCGGGCGAGGGTCGCCGGCCTTCGGGAAGGCCCGGGCGAGGGCCGCGACCCTAGGCGAGGCCTCGCCTCGGGGTCGGCGGCCTCGCTTGGGGTCGGCGGCCCTTGCCTGGGCCTTCGGGAAGGCCCGGGCGAGGGCCGCCGCTCCTTCCCGGCGGCTGTGGCGGCGGCCACCGGCAAAGGCTTGGCCACGCCGCAGCTATTGGTTCTGTTTTTTTGTTTTTTGTTTTTTCTTACGTTAATTGGACGGAGTTATAACGGTAGGGTAGATTTGGAACTCGGAGAAAAGTTTGAGGTTTTTCTTGAGACAAAAAAAAGTTCAGGGTATAATTAGGACAAAGTGTAAAGTTGGGGTTTTTTTTTGGAATTAGGCCCATTGACAAGGCCTGTACTAGTTCTCGGATTTCGAAGAGTTGAATTTGTATAAAAAACTTTATTTTCTAGAAAAGAAAAAACTATAATTGGTAAAATTGCGTTTGAAAATTCCCCTAGTTTTTGCTCAATTGCAGGGAGCTTCTTGAACTTTTGATGTTGTAACCAAGCCTTTGTCCATAAGTATGGCATAACAAAATTGAAATGCGTCAGATCAAGAGACGAGAAATCACAGCATACAGTAGCGAAAAGAGCTCTGTATTGATTTTGGGTCAAAACTGGAGCCCGAGCTAAATTCGATTTTTTTTAATGGAATCAGGCAGATTACAATAAGAAAAGTTACATTGACCTTGACAATTTTTGGCAAATTAGCGGGGCTAAGAACTTTATACAATTTTTGGCACCCCACATCATACAGCAGTGTGAACCTAAGAACTGTATACAATTCTTGGCATATTTGTTTGCTCAGGTGAGCCAGTTTTAACCGCGCTTTCAGAAGCTTCCTTGTTGCATGGCAAATCGCCACCATCCCATTGACCTTGTTTCAGCAACCAAAGAAGTCTTCTTCGGTCCATCTCATTTGTACTCTCTCTTGTCTCTCTCTGCCAAAAGTGCCATATACTGGCCAACAGTGGGTGAATCTATGGTCAACAGTGCCATATACTGGCAGTTCCTTCAGTGGAATGCGCAGTTCCTATTGTAAAATAACTTGCTGAACACGCTCTTTTACCAGTTACCAAGTTCATTATATTTGCTTTGATGAGTAAACCAATGCTATTTTCATGTTGAATCTGTCAGAAAGTGATAGCAGCAGGAGTAAAATGAATATGTGGAATAGATAGAATGCTGGTTTTCTAATTTTTTGGTCCAATGCTGTTGAGGGTCAAGATTGTAGAGTAAAGATGCTAGCTGATTGCATTTCTTTTTTTCGTTCCCATGGCCCGTTGTCTGAGCTTGTTAAATCCAGGCTGGCCATCCCCATTATCTTACGTGGGGTGTCCTATAAATTGCTTGAATCATCTTTGGTCTGTTGGAATTCTTCGTTCAGGATCCTTGCCACTGCTTGGATGCAAGCTTTCAGTGTAAGTGCTCTAGACAAGTACCCAAACCTTCTAACGCGCACGACATCCTCCCTGAGAGTTTCACCCGCAATGATTCCAACTCCATTTCTAAGTCTCTGGTTGCCCCGAATGCCCAATCTTGGAACCCGAGTTCTCTAGATCCTTTGCCTCAGAGCCAACCACTCGGTTTCTTGGAGGCACATAACATTCACTCTTTCCACCTGACTAAAACGTCGACCACTTCCACCGATGTTCCAGGTCTAAGTCACTTCTGAGTAATCTGTCATTCACAAGCAGAGAAAACGGCAAAAGGACACTATAAGTGCCATAAGTTGTGTACGGAGATCATTTTGGTGCCATAACTTTTTTTCGGATCACTTTGGTGCCAACTTTTTTGAAAAACGATCACTTTAGTGCCAATGCTGACATGGCCGCCGGAAATCTGACGTGGCTCTTTTTTTATTAATTTCCGATGCTGACATGGCTCACCGGAAATCTGACGTGGCTCGCCGGAAATCTGACGTGGCTCTTTTTTTTGCCAGAATTTTGGCCGGAGTCACTAAAGTGATTTCTTTTCTTCCGACTTGGCACCAAAGTGATCCGAAAAAAAGTTATGGCACCAAAGTGATCTCCGTACACAACTTATGGCACTTATAATGTCCTTTTACTCAGAGAAAACCAACCCACATCTTCGTAAGACTCGCCAGTCGCCAGTGTCGTCCGGCTTCTTGCAAGCAGGTAATTTTTCTTCATTTATAAAGAAAAATGAAGGAAAAAAACCATCAATAACTTGCGACAAAAGTTTTACTGCCAATCAAAGTTTCTCTGAATATGCAACTACGAGCAGTTTGTACTGTGCAAAACAAGGCTGCAAGTTTTGAAACGGGGAGAGGATTTCGACCTCTACCTCGCATTATTCATTCCCAGTACGGTTTATTCTAGGACGTCCATTTTTTTTAGAATTCTATCCTATAGAACAAAATCAACCAAATCACACACTAAGCATAACAATTATATGAAATCGTCAATCAAATTTTTATTTAAACCTATAGAATTGCTTATTTTTCTATTAAGAGGAAAAACATGAAAAGAAAAGTTTGTCGTTTTTTTTTCTGTTTTATTTATTTTATCAATGGATATAGTGTAAAGAGAGAAGATAAGGAAAGTATTCTTCTTTCCCCACGTATCCAAATTTTGATGCCAATTACTCAATAGATCGTTGGGACTCCATAGGGCCAAGTGTCAGTTTTAGCTCGAATGGTTTGCAGAGGAACTGTTCCTTCTTTGATCCTTTCGACATGTGCAATTTCTTTTTCGTCGAGGCGACATGTAATATGCCTTTATATTCCTTTTGTATCTTTGATTCAATAGCCATTTCCATTGCTTTTCAAAATGAGACTCTATTCTTTAATTGTCCGGCTATAGTGCTACGAGAATATCAAGGTTTTCTTGTAATAGCAATACGGAGTTTTCGGTTCCTACAAAATAAGTTCTTTTTGTACATTTATGCGTAATTCCTCGACATTTCGTGTCCCGCCTTCTATTAATAACTTTGGAAATCCCATACTCTGACTTGAATCGGGTCAATTCTTTTTCGAAATACTATGCGTGCAAGTCCTTCCAAACTAGAGGATATTGTGATATTTGTTCGCATATAATTCTTGATACAATATCTATGTTTTTTATTGTATCCTAGACTAGCTTGTATGATGAAAGAAACAACGTTTGTACGGGCTCTTCGATGCGGTCGTGTGAACAGATCAAACGAATTCATTTGTAACTTTATACTATTAGACAGAATTTTTGGTTGGGGGTAAAGAACAAAGGCACCGTCGTACTAATGAGCCATCGATTTTTGTTTGTGTACTTGGGCAGTTTCTCATGAAGAATTTCCCTTTCGAGGCATACGAGTCAAAACGACAACATTGCTTGGAGGGTTTTTCTTGCTCGTTTTGATTTCGACATTGTGCCAATTTGATGCTAATCTTACTATAAATGTCGGCACCTATCTTCATGTCTTCAAACTGGTAAGAACTTTGTGCGCCTTCGGGACATTCAGCTGATAAGGGAAAGGTTGGTAGTTCTTTCACAATACGAGTGTTTCGATTCGAAGGGCAGCTTCTGGTTCTCCTTTTTCTTCGTTAAAATCAAGTCTCCGTCAGTTACATGGATTTTCTCTCTGTGAAAATCTAGTTGAACCACTGTGGAACTTCATCTTTCTGATCCTGCCGTCCATACCTTGTGGCCTGGAACAGGAACTCGTGGAGAGCTTGACCTGCAAACGTATTAGAATTCAAACCCTTTCCTAATCGAGAATGTCGCAGGAACACGAACCAAGATCCACTTTGGCGCAGGTTTGTGAAGAGAACAAACCCTTTCCTCAAATGTTTCTAAAATCGGACCGATCAAAGATACCGTCCTGCATTAGGGTGAAGGTTGAATTAGTTCACATGCATCATGCAGTTCCTATAGTCCAATCTAATATTATTCTGGTCCCACTATTATGATTGATTATATCAACCCTCCTAATTAATGGTGGAAATTTTTGTAGTCTTTCAGCGCATGGATTTATACTTTGACACTTGGACTCCCGCGCCTGCTAATTATGCAAGTGTTGCTTCTTTTTAATGTTGTAAAACGGCTAAGCCCCGGGTTCATGAAATTTGTTGTCCAAGAAATTGGTAACTCATGTCAGTGAGTGAATTCCACTTACGGAAGTTTTAAACATTGTAGACTTCAGAGGACATCATCAGAGGCGACATTTCTCCCCGCCCATCCATGAGCAGCCTCTCCTTCGAAGCATGTTTCCCTGCACCGGAGGCTTCCATAGAATCATTTTTCTCTGCACTGCAGGTTTCTGTAGGCCAACCATTCCCCCGCGGTATCTGAAAAATATGAAGCGCCGTCCTGGTCACTCAGTCCTCTGTCCTCCTCTCCTTCTGATCCTGAATTCTATATAAATGACAGGGTACATTCCATTGCTCGATGCAGCGCTGAGAGGCGACTGGAAAGAAGGAATCGAATTTATATCTCACAATCCATCAGCAGAAATTGCCAGGATCACGAGGAAAATGGAGACTGCTCTCCATATCGCGGCAGGCGCGGGACACAGGGAATTCATTGAGGAGCTGGTGACAATGATGACGCCTGACGACTTGGCAATGCAGAACAAGGATGGGAACACCGCCCTCTGCTTTGCTGCTGCATCCGGAGTTAGAGAGATTGCCAAGGCGATGGTCGATAAGAATCCACAGCTTCCACTGATTAAAGGCAGCAACGAGGCAACGCCCTTGTACATTGCAGCCCTGTTAGGGAAACAAGACATGGTGAGGTATCTATTGTCAGTCACGGATGACACATGTTTAACTGAGTCGGATCTCATGGACATCCTTGTCGCCACCATCAGTTCCAATCTCTTTGGTTAGTGCATCCACTCTAGTTCTGATATGAATGTACCCTGGATACAGCTTTTATTGTCAGCTCAAATCCAGACCAAAATATATACTCTTTCCAAAACCAAACAATCTGTTTTCTGTTCTCTTTTCTGCGCCCCCGAGAGAATCTGGTAGTTAGTTTACTTGAGGACAAATTTTTTTTCCATTATTACTGTTAATTGTTTTTCTCCTTTTGCCAGATGTGGCTTTGCAACTGATTGGTCGACATCCCAAGTTAGCTTTGGCTCGGATGGGAAACGGAGAGACGGCTCTCCATGTGCTAGCGCGGATGCCGTCAGCATTCTCGTGTAGGAGTCAGCTAGCGATTCAGCTGAGGTGCTTCTTTTCATGTAGGTATCACTATCGCAGCCATTTTCCTTTAACAGTGGTTGTTGAGGTTATCAGCTTGCTCCCTATGTTGATGTTGTCTTCATTTCTTGCTTATGGATTTACTTTAAGATGCAGTTGACATCCGTTCAGGAATGTTGTGGAGGAAACTTTAATATTTTAAGTTGTAGTCAGTTCGGACCGAAGTTTGTCCACAGCTCCTTCAAAAGTTGGGCTGACAGAAAATACAGTTGCAGGTACGCAGGAAATGCTTGATCCGAAACGGGCGCTTATGCCGGCAGTTAAGCTGTTGGAGCTTATATGGAGAGAGGTTTCTTTGCTCGATGATGGAGGCATCGGAAAACTTCTCAGGGAACCATCGCGGCTGTTGTTTACTGCTGCAGAGTTAGGAAACTATGGCTTCTTAACTGTGCTGATCCGTCTCCATCCTGAACTTCTGTGGAAAGTCGATGATCAGAAGCGAAGCATATTTCATGTTGCAGTTGCACATCGTCACGAGAAGATCTTTAGACTAATTTATGACATTGGTGCTCATAAAGACATGATTGCAGCTTACAAAGACGAAAATGACAATAACATGTTGCATTTGGCTGGAAACCTGGCTCCTTCGAGTCGACTCAAAATTGACTCTGGGGCAGCTCTACAAATGCGGCGAGAGCTACTGTGGTTCAAGGTTAGTTTTTATTTTTTCATACTACACAATTTGAATTATACGGTTTAACAGCATTGGAGTTACCCTCCACATCTTTTGAGCTTGAAAGCGTAAGTCTGTTCAATGTCATTTTAATGGACCATTTTCTGAATGATAATATCTGTTTTCTGGTATAGGAGGTAGAAAAGATTGTCCAGCCTTCTTATCGAGAAATGAAAAATTCCGAGGGGAAAACTCCGTTTCTTCTTTTCACTGAGAAGCACAAGGAGCTCAGACAAGAAGCAGAAAAATGGATGAGGGACACTGCATCTTCATGCATGGTCGTTGCGACACTCATTGCCACCGTGATGTTTGCTGCTACCTTTACTGTTCCAGGCGGCAATAATAATGACACGGGGAAGCCCATATTCCTACATCACAGGTCATTTATTATTTTTGCCTTAGCAACTGCATTGGCTATCTTTTCCTCTGCGACATCAATCTTGATGTTCCTTTCCATTTTGACGTCACGCTATTTGGAGGAAGATTTTCTGCATTCGTTGCCAAACAGGCTGGTGTTAGGACTTGGAAGCCTCTTTGTCTCCATAGCTACCATGATGGTGGCCTTTGGGGCCACCCTTATTATCCTCCTTGGTCACAGTTACGCTCTAATCACTGTTCCAATTGCTGCTTTTGTTTCTGGGACAGTGACCTTGTTTGCTTTGCTACAATTCCCCCTTTTGTCTGATATGATCAGACACATGTGCAGCAAGGGTTTACTCTCTCATCCAGAAGACCGCCCGTTGTTCTGATCATTAGCGACTAGTACATGAGTGATAAAACAACGTGATGTGATTGTCATTAGTCACATATCATGATTGGTAGTTTCTTGTTGTATCTTGAATGATATCAAGATTTGCTGGAAGTTTGCATCGCATCCGCATAAACCATTCCACAAGGTGGGAATGGATGATTGAGATGAAATTTTTGTTTGTGTTATGCATCGAAACAAATGGAGCAAGCTTATTTTATTGTACCTTACAATCTAAATGCTGGTGCATTTCAAGTTACAACTTGGAGCACATTTCCATGGGAGGCTTCACAGTGAAAATGCTGATTCCCCTGAATCATCAGTTTAGAAAGAGAGAAAAAACCCAGATTCCATTTTGTACTATCAAATGTAATCGAATATTTTTTCGGTGAATTACAAACCATCGACAGCATTTCACTACCATAAAACAAACATCAAACAGCAAGGCTAGCACAAGTGAAGGGTTATAACATTGTAGTACTGACTTTCTCGTACTCAGCTCACATACCTCAAGACAAAATGAATAGTACCCTGGAGGCTGGTCACTGCTAAACTCAATGAAGGAGAGGATGGTACATAAACTAACCAACTGCCATTAAGCCGAGTGCATGAGCAGAACAAATCTTGGTGATACTTGTACCACGTAGCCTGCTCCAAAATCTCAACCACAACAGCTACACTAATAGGTGATGTAGCTAGCAAGGATCACTCATCACCTAGAGGGGAGTGAATAGGCGATTTAAAACTTTTGATCAATTTTTAAAGCGGAAACAAATGATCAATATTAAAGTCTGAAAGACATTCAGGTTTTGAGCAGACTTTGTAACAAATGTGCTAGTGTGCAGTATGTAATATAGAATAAAAGTTTAGGGATAGAAAACTGCACACAAGAAATTATAATGGTTTGGCTTAAATCAAGCCTATGTCTACTCTCTCATACTAACAGTCAACTGGCTAGATTCCACTATCTGATCAAAAGAGATTACAAGCTGTGAGTGGTATCACTTTGTGAATGATAGAACTCTGTATCTCACAAAATCAATCTTACAAAATGTCTCTCAAGATCTCAGTATTTGGTTCAAGAAAGATAAATAGTAGAATCGGAGTATGCTCAGACTTTGGATTTGTTGATTCTAAATTTCGTTTTGTATCTTCTGCTCCTCATTAATCTTCTTTTATACTCCTCCACTTTCAAACTAGCCGTTGGACAGTCTTCAGAGGATCATCTTCCAATCTTCAACTTGGATAGATTTGTATAAAATCGATTTAGTAGCCGTTGGTAGACAAAATATGAATCCTACTGAATTTGATTACCCATACAACCAGAATCTTGGTTTCTATAAGTAGAGCTTTATCCGTTGTGATATATACTTGCTTTAATGTTTAATTGTCAATCAATTATAGCTTTTTAAGATTGAGTCAATCAAAACTTTCCTTATGTGAAATACACGCCAGATCACTAGCCGTTATGTTCGTTCTGAGTAGTTTCAGAGTCCGGATATCTTCTGGTTCTTGCTTCACATCCAGAACTTAAGTCAGTGTGGGCCTTTAGTAAGGTCTAAGGCCTTTAGAAGTAAAGTCTGAAGCTTTTCAACTGCTTAATATAAAGTCTGAGTGACTTTTACAGTAAAGTCTGAAGCCTTCCTTCTGGTCCTCGTAAAGTCTGAGTATCAAGAAAGTCTAATTCTCTCGAAGTATTGGAATTGCCATTTCCATAATATATCTACCTGGATCAAAAAATTTCAGAGCATGCACCAGACTTACAAAATTCACATGGATAGTTTTTGTAATTTCCTCAATTTCAGTCCCAGGGAAATGGCTATGGGTTAAGTTTGGAGGTTTTCCCCAATCGAAACTAATTTTAGTCTTGTTCTGGAAAACCTAGATTCGGATCCTCGGTACCCCTTCGTTTTGTTATTTTTGTGGAGACTTTTGTGTTCCGAATTTCCAAACACTTCCTTATTAAAAGTTTCTCCAAACATCTTGAAGTTTTACATACTTTAATTTCATAATTTTTGGACTTGATATGATTAGTACAATAGCCTAATTTCGGACCATGTAAAACTGCCCGGAATGGGTATTTCTGTGACATTCACGCTTTCTTGATTTTCTACAAAATTTTGTGGGCAAATTTTGAACAAAATTCCTTCATAAAATTTGTTGAGAATTTCTTTCTCTATAATATATAAAAATTTGGGAATTTTTGAAAATGATTTGGATTCTGGAAAGAGCTTACTTTTGAGAAGCAAGAATTCTGTTCCAGCGAATTGTTTTTAGTCTGTCTTTGAGCTATTAAAAGTTGTGTTTACAGAAAGATTCAAATTTCGTGTTCTTCATGAAAAATGTTTTTTTATGGTCTTCTTTATGACATATTAAAATTTGGGAATTTTCTGAGTTCATTTACTATGTTTTTAAGTCGGACTTCTAGAACAGTGCAAAAACTGCCGGTTTTGTCAGATTTTAAAGATTCATCTTTTTCTATATGAGAACGTTTGAATCTTGACTTGATGTCTTCTGGTGATTTAATGTGCTCATTCTGAGCTTTCAAATGAGCTATTCTAAGCTTTGATTGGAGGTCACACGAAGGAGGAAACCGAGAGGAAGCCGAGAGACAAAAAGGAGGGTTCTAGAAAGTCAAAGCTTGGTGAACAAGTTGGCAAAGCTTGGTGAGCAAGTGGTCAAAGCTTGGGGAGCAAGAACTTGGGGAACAAGTTGGCTTGCCTATAAATAGGCTTAGTTCCTCCCTTTAGCTTCCACACCTCACCTCTTCTTCCTCTCATCTCTCACTCTCACGTCTCTCTCTCTCCCTCACCATCACTCCAATCATCTCTCTCTCTCGCCGTTGACCCCCGCCGACCGCTGTAGACGTTTTATTGTCTTGAGCTTATAGGTGAGTGAATTCCCTAACACTTGGATAGGGCGGTGTGTTACGTGATTGGAACGTGGCATGTAAGTGGATTCCCTAATTTCGGGATAGGAAGTTATGATACGTTGTTGGCTTGAGTTCTCACTCGACCCTTTGTTGAGACTTGCATGTTGTTGTTTGTCTCGATGTTGCACACATCGCTTGTTACCATGCTTGATGTTCTCATCCATGCTTGTTGTAAGAGGATAGGACGTGGTGCTACGAGTTTGGCTCGAGTAGTGACCGTGACTGTGATGCTCAATGTTTGCATGAATGCTTTTTGTTTTGCTTCATAATCGTAAGTCAAGGCACGTATGAGTCACGAAATGGGGTGTCATATAGTCTCGTACTCATGTTGTGGCGTCACGGGACGAGTTCAGCTTGGTGCGAGTTTACATTGGGATATGTAGATTCAGACCAAGTTCGGCTCCGAGCCGGCGCTCGACATGGCGGATCGAACCACGTGACCTTAACCGCGACCCGCATATCAGGCGAATGTTCTAGAGATTATGATTACACAAGCACGGCATGCCTTTGGGCTTGATTGCATAGACTAATGAAATCAAGATAATAAACCAGCTTGTGTGACCCATGATGTGTGATCATTAAATGAAAGAAGAAGACAGTCGTCACATAACATTGGCGGCGATGCCTCGATAAACTAGCACCAAGATGCCATAGTTGAGCTAGGATACCTGAGTTGAGCCCGGATGCCTCGGTAAACTAGTGCCGGGATGCCCTAGTTGAGCTAGGATGCCTTGGTTGAACTCGGATGCCTCGGGTGAGCTAGCCCCGAGATGCCTCGGTTGAGCCGGGATGCTTTAGTTGAGCCAGGATGCCTAGCATGAAGCTGGATGCCCTGGTTGAGCCAGGATGATGATACATGAATCTTATATGTGTGCCGGTATATGTGTTTATTGATAAGCCGCAATTATGTGACCGGATAAATGTGAGTTTCCATGTGAACATAGCAAGGGCAAGGTCAAAGTCTTTGCTATTGATTTGCCATTGACATAAGGTGGGAAAGTATTTGTATGCCTTAGTACAGCGGCGAGGCATCATCCTGCACGAGTATTAGTGAATTTACTCATTGAGTCTCCCCGACTTATTCCCCGTTGCTTTTCCTTTTCAGGTCCGTAAGATGGAGGATGACATAGAGGAGCTAGGATTAACCTCAGCCTTCACTTGTGATATGATTTGTACGTAGGAGCGGTCCGTAGAAAAAGGCTTGTAAAATATGTCTAAGTAAAATGGCAATATTGTATCTTGCCGGTTATGTTTTCCCTGGTTTCCGAGGGTAAGATAAGGATGTTACATATTAATATAAGGTTTGCTCATGATGCTTGTCATAACCCCGTTGTTTGTTCTGATTGTGATTGTCCCGAATTAATTGCGTCCGCTTGTGCTTAGTCAAAGATAATACCGAACGGGATGTCGCACTAATAACCTCGAGGTAAGGACGTTACAGTTTTGCCGACTTCAAAGTCTATTAGGAAGTTTCCTTAACAATAGGAGCATCTGGTTACGGTTATACTCGCTTGCGGAAGATGTAGGACATCAATGGATCTAGTGACACCGCACCTCCAACCAAACATGAAAAGTTCAAGAAGTGGAAAGTCAAAGCCGGAAAAGCTACGTATGTTGGTGGTAACAATCGAGGATGAGCTATGGGATCACATAGAGGATGCAGAAGGACCGAAGGACGCATGGGACACACTCACATCCTCTTCGCAAACATTGGTACGAAGCTCCAAAGATTGACGAATGGGATTATGATAATGACCGCAAGTTACAATTTTGCAAAGGTAAAACATCTTTGCAGAAAAATTACAAGCCTAAATCCTCCGGTTCTTCCACATTTTCAGTGAAGTCATTTCCTCGTGGAGCAGGCATTTCGATAGTAAGATGAACACCTCCCAGTGGAGAAATACTAGCCTCGGTAATACCAGATGCCTGCTTTGGATTCTTGGTGCCGAAACTTCCGACTGAGGCTGCTTTGCCTGTCTAGGTGTATATACCTGGTAAGCTGACATGACCATTTTCCTTATTTCAATATGCCGGTTCACGTACGTTTAGCTTCTCTAAGTTTCACCTGG